GGGCCAAACGGGGCGGGCCAAATAGGCCCGCGATTGAACGGGCTGGCCAAGCAAAGGCCCGAGCCCGTCCGTTTAGGCGGGCGGGCGGGCCAGCCCGCGGGCCATGGCCGTTTTGACAGTGCTAGTTTTATCAATCAAACCGAAGTGGACAATAGACCGGTTCCCGTTTCAACCGGTCGGACTGGCTGATCCGGTTTGGTTTTCAAAACATTGCTTTTAACACAAAATTGGTATTTATGTAGGTACAAAATACAAGTGAATTTGTCAGAATATGTGGGAAACAATAAATGTTAGAAAAAATAATGGTATTTATGTAGGTACAAAATACAAGTGAATTTGTCAGAATATGTGGGAAACAATAAATGTTAGAAAAAATACGTTGAATTTTTCATGAATTCGGATCTATAAGAGATAGAAGCGAAAAATTGGTCACACCAAATTAATAACGGAGTTCAGTCAATAAGGTCTACGTCTCCGGACTACTGCATATATTTTATTAAGAGAAAAAAAATACACTATTGTTTACAAAACACTCTCAAACTAACTCATGTTTACAAAACACTCTCAAACTAACTCACACTCAAATACACACAAAAGCTAAATTCTTGTTTCTAAAAATCCTTGAACCAATAATTTAAATTAACCACATACCTTCATTACGAGAACGTTATCCCAAATTACCTCACCATCTGTGTCGTATCATCCCAGACTTGTCGTGGGCTCACCGTGGCTCCAGGACCCCTGTTGGACCATCTGGGTACGTTGTCCAAGCGTTGGACCGAGCTAAAGGCTTTTTGGGCCGCACTAGAGGAGTCTGCGCGCTAATGGTCCTTGCTGACGAGGCTGAGCGCGTAATGGGCCGCACGCTGAACGAACTGGGCCGCATAGTTGGGCCTGGTGGCAGGCTGAAAATCGTGGGCCAGATGTGGACTGAAAGCAGGCTAACGCGGGTCGAAAACTGTGGCTGAAACGGGCTAGACGCGGGCCAAAGTCGGTCTGTGGTGTGAGGAATGCGAGTCGTGTGGGCTGGGCGGGGCTCGCGCTTTTCCTTTCTCTTGGGCTTTGTGCGATGTTGTTGGGCCACGCGAACTCAGTCGAGCGTGATGTTGGCTTTTCTCCTAGGTTGCGGGGTGCGGGCCTCTTCGCTGCTGTAGGCCATAGGCTCGCGCGGGCCAATGGGCCCCCCTGCCAACGCGGGCCAAAACCTAGGTGAACAATGACTGCAACTCGCAGGAAATTGAAGCTGGAAAATGATTGCCAGCTCCGACAAGGATGGTCGGCCGAGAGTGCATCTCAGCGATGAGATTCCAATGGTGCCTTCAGTTTGAAGTGGATCGCCAGAAATCACCTAAAAATTGGAGAAGACCAGAGTTTACCAAAATGTTTTAAATCCAAAAACTTTGACTGACAAAACTAACGGTTTCACAGCGGAATTTTCTCTTGAAATTTTAAGAGGATGACGAGCACAAGAAGAGCTTCATGCTAATATAAAAAAAATTCGATCAGAGGACTTTGGCCGGCGGTCGGTGAATGTAGGTTGTTGTAGGTTCGCTTCGGTGAGAGGATTCCAACAGTGCTCATAGATTTTTGATATCCCTTGCCGATCGCCTGGATAATGGGTTTGAAGTCGGATGTTGAGCAAAATTTTATAGATCCAGAATGTTTGACCGGCAAAATTGATGGCCTTCCCGGTGGAATTTTTCATGGAATTTTAAAGAGAGAATCACCCCGATGAGATATACCCGGTGACGTAAAAAATATTCCAATCGGAGAATTTTGGCCAGCAACGGCCGGCGAAGATGATTTAGAATTTTTCGGTCGAAACTCTATTTGCCATGGTTGAGTTTTAGCTTTTTGAACCGTTCCCATAGATTACGCCAATGGCAGTGAAATGGAATTTACTCAGGCTCCTTCAACTCAGACGGCCTCCGCACCTGCAAGAACCAAACGCTGTGGTGAGTGGGGGAGGAGGGGATCACAACGTTGAGCCTCTGATGTCTAAGTCAATACTCGCCAGATATTGAGTGTAATATGAGAGCATAGTTGTGAATGTAAAGAGAAATGAGTTATTGTGATACCTTAGCCCCCTTTTATAGGGCAGGTGTAGCTTAGTGCCCGTGTTGGGCTTGACCAATTATACATGTCTCCTAACCCGTATTTATAGAGGCTTATTCACTAATATATTCATTTTTATCCATTAAAACTGGTCTAGTATCATATCACATATCAAACCATATATTAAGTATTTTCAGAGAGATTATGGGGGTGAGTTATGGCTCGTAAGCCTTCGTTCTCTTCCTTGGGGATACTCCATAACATTTCTTGTCCCTACACCCCAGAACAAAATGGTTTGGGTGAGAGAAAGCATAGATCTATTTTTTAAACTGGTTTGGCCTTGATTAATCAATCTCTCTCCCCT